ATCTGGTCATATGTGACAGATGGCAAGACCTGCGAAGCATTGCTAGGAAAGTGGGTATAAGCTTTGGTTTAGTTCAGGCAATTCTGATTGATGTCAGTTGACTGACGACCAGAAACGGACCAGGCTTGACATGACAAGATACCTTTCGTCTCGCTACGAGGATAAACCTGATTTTATCTATTTTATCTACCGAATTGTAACTCAGAATGAAACATGGGTCAAATACTTCGATCTAAAAGCCAAACAACAGAGCAGGCAGTGGAAGCAACCTGGCTCATCCCCTCCGAAGAAATTCAAGAGGGTGCCATTAGCAGGGCAAATGATGGCTTCAATTGTTTTGGATAGTCAGTGGATAATTATGATTAAATATGTTGAGCAAGGTCGTACCATAAACGGTGTGTACTATGCAGACGAATTGAGACGTCTGCGTCAAGAAATTGCGCGTAAAAGGAGGGGCCAACTAACTCAAGGCGTCCTGCTCGTGCATGACAATACGCCAGCTGACACATCCAAAGTAGCGATGACTGCTGCAACTGATTGCGGCTTTGAAATTCTTCCCCATTCCCCATATTCTCCGGACTTGGCCCCCTTGGACTTCTATCTGCTTCCGAAACTAAAACCAAGCTTCGTAGTAGACGTTGTGGAAGCAATGAAGGTGTCATAGAGGCGGTCAATGAGGACTAAAATAGAAAGTTCTATTTTGAAGAGTTAAACAAGTTTGAGCACATGTGGGCAAAGTACATTGGTGTAGAGGGCGATTTTATTGAATACTAAGACCATTAGTTGGGTTTTTTGAAGTACATCGGGCCATGCCAAGAATTCTTTAATCAATCCTCGTATATTTTTTAAAGGAACAACACAGTTTTCATTATAGCTCTCAGTAGACGTCAACGAACTTTATTTCCCTTTACGAGGAAAGTATCATAAAAGTATTAGTTACAAAGAATTTTGACATGTAATATGGTCCAAAATAAACGTATATTTGTATGCATGTAACAGCTTTGGAGATATTGCAAATAATCGTTTATATAATTAAAAAGTCATTTGACCTGTCAAGATTCTTAATGTCGAATTTATGATGCTTCAACTTGATTTGATTTCATGATTTGACAGCAGGCATGTATATAGTTTATATAAATGTCACGATTATCGTTACAAACGTGCAGTATGATCAGACCTGGTATTATGACTAATTAGGCAAACAATGATGATTGAAAAAAATGATACCTCATTACTTATTAAAATATATGTGTAAACTAAACAGCTGGCTACGTGTCAAGCGCGTGATAAACCCAGTCGAAAAACCTATTTACCCATGAGTGAGCTGGTATTTGACGTAAATTGCTCACGTTATGACCGGACATTTTGTAGTACTTTAGAACCGAAAAGAGAATAGTGGCTTTTTTTAGATAGCAATTTATGTCATGCCATGTTAGACTGGACACAGGGAGGTATAAAAACTTGTGGAGAGAGTCATGTTTTGTAGATAAGCAATCACTGTAGCATTGGTTGGTGTTATTAAAACAGTTTGGAATAAACACGAGGTATCTATATCAGCAGTTTATTCATTATCTAAGCAATTACTTAGTTCACACTTAGCATGTAAGTATGATTTTTCTAGAGGTTGTTGAATCACCCTTTGGATATACTACCTGCTTTTAAACTGCCTGTTGACGTCTTTAAAAATTTCATTTTGTGTAGTTCCGCTAGTTTGTGTAGGGCACACGCCTTATTATTATTATATTTTTTTTTTTTGGGGGGGGGGGGGGCATAAGCCGCTTTTCATGGAATGGCACTAAGATCATTTTAAATTTTGCCTTTTTGGATTTTCTTAAAGGATTCTTATTTCCTCTATTTCATCGCCACATGAGCGTTGTTTGTGCCGTGTGGAGGCCGTAAAAAGTCGCCCCATATATTCAATCAGAGATGTTATAATTCCGTACCTTAAAGATCGTTTAGCTCGACATTTTGGTTGTGTTTGTGCCGTATTGGTACAGTAAAAAGTCACCCCGTACATTCAATCAGAGATATTATTATTCCGATACTTAGAGATCGTTCAGCACGACATTTTGGTTGTGTTTGTGGTGTCTTTATTTCTTACTTTTTGGCCTTTTCTAGTTAGGTGGTTCAATGAGTTCCTTGAGGACCAAAATAAAGAGTTCTATTTTGAAGGGTTTAACAAGTTGGAGCACAGGTGGGCAAAATGCATTGATGAATAGGGCGATTATAATGAAGTGCAAGACAATTACTTGAGTCCTACTTGAATAATGTTGTATCACCTTTAGGATATGTTGCTACCTTTTAACAGAATAATTTGACACATACCGGAGCATAAACCGAGTAGTTTTTACACATTGTTCTACATATCACTTTTTACTGATGAAGTTAAAAATATATGTTACAACAGGCACATAGTTCCTGTGCTTGATTATTGTTGTATAGTATGGGGAAAGGACATATACTCATACATCAATAAAGTAAACTCAATTCAAAAAAGAGCTGCAAAGATGTTTCAAGTCGGAATCGATTTCAGAGATGCTCCGACTCGGACCCATAATATTTACATGTTCATATTTATCAACATATTTAAACAAAAGACATCGAATACCTTTTTAATAAATGTATTTTAAACACACCTTCACAAAACATAGTAAATTATCTACAGCATAAATAATATACATTTTTACTAGAAACAAGTCCATCCTTTCTTATATGTTTTGAGAATTTACAAAGAATATTATTCAATAGCTAAAATGATAAATAGTTAAATTATACATGAATAACTTATTACACAGATGTTGATAGAGCAGATGTGTCTTTTTAATGGAAAATTATTTGTATTTGCTGAATATAATATTTTATTCATAATTTAAAATGTACTTGTCTGTTGAACTTGTGATGTGAGTTTTTTTTAAAGCATCAGCATGTTCAGTTTATTAACATGAAGAAGTTAATAAGAGTAAACAAAATACAACTTTGAACAAATGTTTAGAAAATGTAAATTCCCAAGGCGAACATATTTATATAATGATTAATGAACATTTATTTCTGATTGCATAAAACATACGCAATGTTACCAATCAATAAACTCGTACTATTATGTTCTCCGCCTTAACATATCTCATCTCGTTCGACAACAGGGAAAAAGTAAACAAGCAAATAATATGTCTCATCTCTGAAGGCAGCATGAAGACTTGCAGCAATCGGGATTCAAACAGCAATATGAATTCTAACAAAACCAAAAACAACAACAACAACAATAAATAAACTTCACACATTTTTACGTCTATACATTCAATAAATAGAAACGCAAAAAACAACAACAAAAAACCCCTATAATTTTGTGCAAGTTAAAAAAAGTTTCTAAAAGGATTTTAGTCCTATTAGATTGAATTTTGAATCATTGAACGAAGTTGTTAAAGTTGTGTACGTGTACATAGATTTCGTCTGAGGAGAATATCTGGTATATTTAGGCAATTTAACCGTTAAATCTGACATTTATTTCCATTATGTCTTATCTAATAAAAAATAAATTTGTACATTTTCTTTTCATTGACATCTAAAAGAATTACAAAAACTAACTCAAAAGTATTATTATAATAAAGTTTGATGGCAGGGTTTATGAGCAGGTTCAATGAAACCAAGCCTACAATATTTTCAATTTTGCCGTGTTGGGCTTTCTTTAGGGATTCTGTTTTCTCTATTTACTTAATAAATGATTAAAACATATCTTCATGTGACAACTGTCGTATATCATTCACTTCATAGAAAAAAAAGATATAAAATACCGACTTACAATATGAAACTCACAACAAATACATGTATACAAGTTTTACATTTCATAAAGATTAAATGCATGAGGCAACTGTTATGTTTTTTGATATTTCACACATGGATCAATGTATCACATGCGACGTGATATAGGTTAAAGTCTAGGTAAAAATAACCAAAGAGTCAAAGCAACCAGCGCTATCCGTTTCTTTGAAATTGTTTGCAAATAAGTACTTTAAATATTATCATATAACTTAAATGAAACAAATATTATTAAAATTAAGGAATGTACATTTTAATTTAAAAAATATGCTTTCTTAAACATGTTTTGTTTTTTAATTTTCACTAAAATATCTATGTCAAACATTATGTGACCAATTACAAACTTTAAATGAGCTAATATGTGTGTGCTTAGTGATATAATAATAATAGCATTTTACGCCAAAGCTGATGAGGTATAACAATTTGTTACCATCGAATCATCGCTTAACTTGCTTCTCTGGAGAGAAACTTGATACTATCATTGATGAATACGTCAGGGGATAGTGTAGCACCTCCCAAACTACCTTTTTAACGTTTCTTTGAAGTCTTTCACGCAAAGTCTGCATTTTAAGCTTTCAATTTTTGTTGAGTCGGGCAAAACTTAATATTTCCTCTTTACTTAAATGTCTAGTCGTCGTTGTTTGCGCTGTCCTGCATCATTAGATAACTTGCTGGTTTGTTCCATAAGTAATGTTATATTTTGATATCTAAAGTTCACTCGACACGACTTATTGTTTCCTTTCTGGAATGGCAATTTTTTCGTGGGTCGTTGTAATTGTATCATCATAATTAGTTCACTGTCACTATGAGATTTCATTGTATACCATTAAATCATTAAGCGTCAGCACGAAGTCCCGAAATTTCATTTTATTTAGTTTCCATCACGTGGTTCACATAATATTCTATTAATGGTCATACGCCGACTGGCATGGTAATCACGAAAGTGCAATTTTAAACTCTTTCCATTTATAAAGATACGATAATGTGGAATTTGCTGAAGTTAGTACAGGGTAGTGCGGACGGCAGCGTGTACAAGATACTGTTGTCCATGAAGCCCACTACATATCAATCAAGTCATGTTTTATGCATGAAGGTTTCACATTTACAAAATACTGAAACCAAATGACGGTATATGAAGTAAATACATCATCAAACATATTACAGACAATAACTAGAAAATAATATATTTAGTTACTTTGAATGTTTTGTGGCTGTACACTTCTATTTGTAACCGAAGTAATTGATTTATGAACTGACTCTAGAATTTTCTTAAATTCCCTTCTGAACAAAGATCCGGTCATGAAGTAGAGAAGAAAATTGAAACTGAAGTTGCTCCAAATCAAACATCTCGTGATAGCGTTAAGCAGCTGATACTTTGCTAATGTATGCTCGTCGACCTCTTTGCCGAATTCGAGGAGGTTCAGGTACAAGCCATATGGAACAGTTGTTACAACGTATACACTGCAGAGAATGAAAAACATTCTGTAATTGGCATTATTTCTAGGTGACTGCCGGTCGTTGCGATTTACGGCGTTGTTTTGGATTTGAACACGGCGAAGTGCTCGTTTGCTCTTAATCAACGATGTTGCCACAATTGCATTTCCCGTGATAATGAGTATAAGAGGTACAACTGATCCAAGAATAAGAAGCAATTTTTTCCATACGGCGTTATAGAATTCTGAGTATCCACCTTTGCGTAAGGAGCAATGATTGGTTGTCTGGATTCTTGTAACATTATTTTCTGTAATATTAATCTGTCTTTCAATCATGGTGCTGCCGTAAATCAAATGTGCGTTTAATAGGATGACGAGAATCAACGTGACAACGGCGATGATAACTGCGTTTCTCGGTGTCATCTTTGGCTTGAATGTAGTCGGAAACAACGTTACAAACGTTCTTTCTGCTGTTACCAAAACGATGATCCAGCATGACATCATTCCAGACGCAAACAATGACCAATGTGAAAAGGCACAGCTAAATGAAGACCATGAACGTATTTCAGTGCCAAAGGCGATCCTTACAGTATTAGGCAAAGGACCTGTACTGCAAACTATCATATCTGTAACTGCCAGAAACATGAGATATACACACGTTGACTTCTTCCGCAGTTGATGCGATGATAAAACCATCAAGTTAAGAAGGTTTCCAATGATTCCAACAACAACTAAAGTGACTGGAACAACTTTCCAAATCCATGAAGCTACGTAACATTCAATATATCCATATATGTCACACTTAAAAGAGACAAGTTTACCATACGTTAAAGCTGGCATTGTCTGCTCTGATTTATTTGAATGTTAACATAATATTATTAATAAATAACGATACAAAACTTTTAGATCTTAACACTGCACAAGGTCGGAAACACATGAGATATACCTTCGCAGTACGTTACCATAGGTAACCTCTCTTCTGATAAGTTGAAAACATAAAAACAACAAAATTAATCACTTGAATATCAAATCACAACAGTCTTTTCATAAGGTGTAAGAATACCAAGAGTGTATGGTTTGCCCCACATGACATTACAGAAAGACACATGATAATTGAATACAGCCCTGTTACACTGTCTTATATTGACGTCATTAAATATAAAACCAATAGTTCAAAGGATGTTCTTTACGAATTCTAAGTTAGACGTCAATCATTATTAACAAAACAAAATTTCAATTTTTCTGAAACGCACGCAATCTTAATATGAGATTCATGTAATCAAAGGAATGAATGGGTAATTAAATGCTTTACCATTTTCTTTGTTAAACCTTTCCTCCATATGTTATTTTTACCAATATTTGTCTCTGAATTTTATCAGGAAATTGGATAATCACTGCAAAATACATGTTTATTATTAAAAGAAACAAAATACAAAAATCAATAACAACCATTTGTTATTCAGCATTGATAAAGCAACTTTTTATGTTACAGTAAGAAAAAAAGATGTCTTTATAAAATCAAATATTAAGTACATGCAATAAACACCAGAATTCTTTCAAAACATTTAACTTATACATATAAACGCTATTCAAAAATTTCTCGGATATTTTCCTATTGTATTATAAACCTTTCATTGATATTTTGTCACATTTGCTATTGTATAATATGTCTCTGCTATTCTTCTCTTTCTACCGTTGTGTATTGGATATTTGCAATTCATTTAACGTTGACTGATCAATGTTTACTTGATATTTTGTCATATTTGCACGTTAATTGGTCAACGATTTCAATAAATTATGTCGCTTTTTTACCTTGTTTGATAAACGTTGCCAATATGTTTTGTTATTTTTTGCGTGTTCCTTGAAGAACGTTTGTTTAGTATGAAATGTTTTCACGTTGTTTGATAAACGATTCAATAATATTTTGTCATTTTTATGGCCCCCCCCCCCATTTGAAGAAGAGTGGGTATATTGTTTTGCTTATGTCGGTCTTTCTTATGTTATTTTCTTGTGATTAATGCTTCCGAGGGATCACTTTGTTTCCAAAATTCCATATACCCATTTAAAGCAAGATTCTATAGCAAATTTACCAAATTAAATGCGAGTCAAGGGCTAGAAAGGGGGGCATATGTGTCATTCGACATTTCTTGCTTATTGTTTGATAAACGTTCCGTATGTGATTGATAGTTCACTTTTAAACGCTTTTAGTAAATACTTTTTAATGATTTTATAACAACTCATGTTGTAAGAACGTCTACTATATTTTCATAGATCTTCAAGTTGTTCGAATAAACGTTTTATTTGTTTTTTTTGCCCATTCAACGATGTTTGTTTATGTATTTTTATATATCTGCGTTTCCAAAATTTTATAAAAGTTAAGTGTTGTCAGACAAACGTCAGGAAAATGTTTCTCTGACGTTTCAATCATATTTATTTATCATATAATATATGTTACTTAAATTCAAAATTCAAGAAAGGTATGTCCAAGATTCAAATAAAGCATTTAGCATTGTTTTTTTTTATTCAAGAACACCAAAACAAATAAATAAATGAATAAATAAATAAATTAAAATAGATAAATGAATAAATAGATAAATAAACTACAACAACAACAAACAACCAAAGAATACATTAGCATTAAAATTAAACTCTGATAGGACTAAGAAACATAGCTATGTGTTTAACACAGGTTATGCTTTTGAAAAGTCCTGATTTATATTTCGGCTACTAATTTATTTCACGAATTTAAAATGTCGAGTTTATGGCTGAGATATTGCCTCAAATATGTGTCAATCCTTAAATAGTATAAATCTAACATTCATTTACACGGATTTATTTAAGTTCATTTTATTAATATAATAGGTATTGAGATTTACAAAATAGTATCAAATATTAACTTATAATAAAAAGATGAAGGAAGTTTACAAGCTATTGTACATGTCAAATATATATGTAGCGACTCGTAATATATTATTTAATTTTCCGCCACATTATAGTTAACACAGTTCAGTTATTTCAGTTTTTATTTTTCTACTTTTTAAACAGTTTTCTACTTTTAAATTATCCAAAATTTTAACATTATTTTTTTTCTTTATTCCACAAATATTTTTTCAATGTTACTTCTACAAATGTTTCTTTTAAACTCTTAAAATTCAAGGCAACGCCTCAAGTAAATCTGTCCATTGCCGTGTGCAAAAATAGCCCCAAAAGCTACATCCAAAAAGGGTGATGAGCTGTCCTCGATAACCAATGAAATGTATCTGGATTATAACAAAATGTAAAACATCTAAAACAAGATGATAAAACTTGTAAATGTTAGGACAATGCCCTGTAAAATAATCACTCTCGCGAGTAGCGACAATGGACTATTGCAAGCACATTTTCATCGTACATGTTCCTTTTTTTATTTAGATATTCTTTCTTTTTAATTAAAGAGAAAAAACAGAAGAAAAATGACAGAACATCCAATGTATGTTTAAATTGGTAGTGCATATCACGATTTCGTGTATATAAATCATTTGACCTTAAGTTATAAGTTCCACGAGGCATTTTGATACTTAAGAATACCATAAACGATGCTTGTTTAACATAGATATTTATGTAATTAACTTAAATCTTACATCGGACGTAATAACGTTTAAAAGATGGGTGGATAGTTACTTATGACTGTTTAAACATCGCTTGTTATTTAAGCATTTTAAATCGATATTTTAACACAAATGATTCATACAATGAAATGCCACACTTGAATGAAATTTTAAGTGCGCAGATGTTTTCAGTTTTCTTTGTTTAATATACATGTATTAAGCGCGCATATTTCATTTAAATACCACGTGGTTACTTTCAGTAATTAGATAGGAAATTATCACTAGTTTACCTGTAGATAAGGTAGATTTAAGCATTCGATAACCTTATTTTGAGCAGTAAATACCTACCATTCATGATATTGTATAAACAATAGTCGGGTTTGTTTATTAAAAGAGGAGTGTTAAGGAAGTGGTTTAAGAATTTTTGTAGGATATTTAATATTCAGTAAGTTACTGAACAATTTAAACGAGTCATTATTTTGAGAGAAAATCGTGATTCTTGAATTAATAATTCAATATGTATGCTGAAAATATGTTTGAATTGCGGATACAATTTAACGTTTAACGTTTTATATTCAAATTGATTTCTAGAAAAACACCATTGAAATAGAGTGTTATCGCATAATATCATAAAACGTCAGGGATTATTATAAATAAAATATGGAAATCAAAATGTCGGCAAAGAAAAGTGTCGTGTGCTGTTTTTTGTTAACGGTTGGAATCGCTATTGTAACAAGTACAAAAGTGAAAGTAGCCGTCTATGAACATGTTGTCATATCACCTGACGACCCTGAAGCTTTTTTCACGAGACAGGAAGCTTTTCAGTGGATGTCAAAAAATTTAAATGTTTTTGATGAGCAAGCCCGAAGAGCGTCTGAACAGGTATTTATGTTTTCATTATTCAATTAATTGTAATACCATAGAAAGATTTGTGAGAAGAATAATTCGAGGATACCATAACGCACAAGTGTGTCATTTGTTTTCCAATTAACGACACTTTACCTTGTGCCTAGTCCACCAGGGCGTGCCTTTACCATTGATTTGAATATGCCATATTTAAAATTCTTGCTGTTCCTTTAGGATGTAATTCTGTTACAATTAAGTAATGACATTTCTTATTATAGTTTAATTGCCAAAGTCAGTAATTTCTTAAAGAAATCATTATTGAAAAACACGTTTTATATCACCTTATAAAATGTCAGCTAATTCGTTGTGTTAAACAATTTAGTAAAAGATTTAAGCTTTTTTCACTGATAATTTAGTTGTAAAAAAAAGACATAAACAAAACGGCGGGTATAATTGTATCAATGTGTAAGCAAAATACAGCAAAAACTGTTGTTAATAATGATACCCCAATTTCCATTCTCAACATATTAACTAAAGCTGGATTACCGTTTTCGGTTTCAATTTCAACACGATATTGCGTTACTTTACAATTTACAAATCTTAAAAAAATAAGAAAAAAATATGAAAGCATATTATGTTGAAATAACCTTACTATATTGTAAACGAGAGAAATGATTTAAATACATATTTCTCTACACATTAACTCAGAAGTTTTTAATAGAATACCTGGGGTGTTTAATGTTTACCTTTAGAACGGGCATCCATCCAAAACCTTTAGATAAGACGATAAGTTAATTGGTGAGTGGATGGATATGCAATTATTTCATTACGGCGAAGGTAATTAATCAAACGTTTAACGTATTATCAAGTCTTTTTTTCGCACTAAAATATTTGATAATGCTTAAGAGCTTGTTAACTCATATCTGTTAAAGATGAAATAACTCGCTGTCCGTAATTGATATCAATTTATTAGACTTTAGACCTTTGTCAGGTACCACAACAGACTGATAGAAAATATGTACATTATAATTATAATCATTCAATTTTTTCTGACGACAATAGAAAATACATTCATTTATAAACTAGGTAATTTTAAAAACGAATAAGGCTATTTAGAAACCAAACAATTTATATGATTTTTTTTTATTTTCAAAATATGTTTGTATTCCACTACCTTCTGTTTTTAGACCTGTCAATCAATTTTATCTAGTCATACATTATACATATACGTTATATCCATGTAACATAATAACTTTCAAATATTAGGACGTTGCTAATATTTGATATTTTCAAATTATGCCGTTTAAATGTAAAGATTTCAAATGTATTCGATATTTCATTTCAGGGGGCAAAGATTATTGTTTTCCCAGAGTATGGTATAACAGGGTTTGATCATTCACGTAATTCGATTGTTCCTTTCTTAGAGGACATTCCGGATTCTAGCACAGACTGGAATCCGTGCATGGAGCCAGATCGTTTCGCTGATACACTTGTGTTAAGAAATCTAAGTTGTACAGCTCAAATGTACACAATCTATTTAGTAGCAAACATGGGTGACATTAAAATGTGTGACAAAATGACTGATAAAACATGTCCGCACGACGGCCGATATCAGTTCAATACAAATGTGATTTTTGATAATAATGGAAAACTGGTTGCTAGATACCACAAACTTCACATGTACGACGAGACACCGCTTTTTGATCCCGCTACCAATGCTGAACACGTGTATTTTGATACACCCTTTGGAAGGTTTGGAACAATTATCTGTTTTGACATTATGCAAAATGAACCAACACAAGTGTTGTTGAATAGGTACGGTATTAAAAATTTACTAGTAACATCTGCAATGAACGTATTCTTGCCATTTATAATACCGCAACAAATGTATTCAGGACTGGCTAAGAAGAATGGAATAAACGTCATTGCATCAAACATCAGAAACTCTTTATATCAAATGGCAGGATCTGGTATATTCGGAAATGATATCCAAAGTTTATCTGATGTAAACACTAATGGTACGGAAGGCATTTTACTTGTGTCTGAGATAGAATCTGAAGTAACAAAAATATATGCACCAAACACAAAAGTGTCAATAAACAGTTCTGGTAAAATTAAGCAATTCATTAACAAAACATATGAAGGTACCTATCATTTCGATTTAAATATGTCTTACGTCATCATGGAAGGTCAACATGGAATTGTAACGGCGTGTAAAGATGACGTATGCTGTGTTGTGACGTATCAATTCAAATCACGCGACGAACATGAGACAATCATTCTTAGCGTTGTAGATGAACTGATGTATGAGCCTGGGATAATACACATGCAGTATTGTGCCGTCTTTAAATGTACACCTCATTCTGTATATTCGTGTGATTACCACGACATTTTCAAAATAAACTCTTTTTTTGCTGACATTAAAATACAAGGATATTTTGACAACGGTGTAACTTTTCCGCTTGTGACTACTATTGACAATAACGAATTAACTATGGATATGGACAAGTACAAATTTGACGATAAAAATGCAATACTGCATAGTAATCAGTTTGAAAATCCTCTTTTAGCCGCAGTTGTATTTAACACACGTCACTTAGACGTCATTAAAACAGGATCATCTAGCAATGTTGCTTGCGGGACTACATTATCGTTGTCCACTGTCCTATTGATATATATCTATAAAGCATCTTAGATCCAATTTTACTTTTGTCATTTGCACGTTTTTGAATTACATTTATTTTTGTCATTCTTATAACGAATTGCCTCATAACGTTCAGAATGCAGGAAACTATGATTTGTTTTACGACTCAAAACACTTTATGTGCGTGTGTTCTTAATAATTCTGAAGGACCTGCCAAATTATAATTCTTATCTGAGTTTATTTAAAACTTAACAAGTGCCTGAATTGCATATATGTACTGTACATTTTCAGAATTAAATAATACAAACATTGCATCGTATGTAACGTATTCTATACGTTATGACTTTAGTGCCAACAATTGTTTGATTCATATCCTCCTCCGTTACCCCGGTGTCCATGAATCTTAGCTTGCACTTTCGATGTACTGTTTACAAACTTTATATCTTTGTGTTATATCATTATATAAGCAACATTTTCCTATACCTATAGTATATTTGCAAACTAATGGAGAATGACGAGCAACGATTCATACCTGTTTACAATATTCATCGTCCTCCTTAATATTTTTAATTAGTGTTATATGCAAAAATTCGAACAGAAAAAAATTATTTGTTACTTGAACTTCTCTGCATTCTTGCGCTTCTTCCGATCACGTCTTTGACAATAATAATAATAAAATTAGTTTTGATTTAAACAAAATATAATTTGTTACCTTATTTTGTCATGCAGAAATTAATACTTTTCACATAATATATATCCCTTATACCCGTCTTACTTCAATTCATATTTGTTCGGTTTGATTAAAGCAAGTTTATGATTTCCTTTTAAATATCCTTTTTTGATCTTGAATTCGACTTTCAGAGCTTTCGTTGAACACATCTTTATAAAGAGCTTATTTGATAAAAATGAGTTTGTTTCACTATCTAGCTTAAATATTGTATGATTAAACTAGGTTGTTTTGTGGATATTATACTTAGACCATAATTTACACGCACGACTGTTCTTTATTAGGTGGTGTCTTCATTTTAGATTTGTATTACAAAATTCATTTGCAATGTCCTTTTAGATATATAAATTAATGACAGTATTTGTCCTCAAAGCATATTAATATTGAGAACACATGTTGATTATTCCTATTTTATATTTGGTATGCAGATGTAATGATACTTAATAAGTACCATATGTAAAACCTGATCTAAATTTAATTTTTTGCTGTACTATTTAGTTTTGATCTTTTGTACCACTTTATGATAGAAATGTATTTTGCAAATAACCTGAGCCAAAGTGAAAATTTGACATTCAATATTTTTGGAACCAAATTTTCAATAAAGGTTTTAAGACAATGAGTTGTAGTTGAAGGCAGTGTACAGAATATCTGGACATCTGCGTTTTTTTTCTTTTACGTTAAATAGTGTTTATGAAGTCGAACTTCCCTCAAAAACGAAGATAGAGAACAAAGAACATGGGGAACCAGGTGTGCAGAAACGATTATGCCCATATCTACTGTCTCGTGTAGCCACAAAACGTGTCCACATTGATTTCAGAAATATTGTGAGCACTGCTCAAGGAGGACGTCACATTTGCTCAACAAGTTGATGATCTGGCAACGACTGTAACGAAATGGGATTGACTTATTGACAAACACGTCGACCAAGGTCGTCCCAGATGAATTTTGCGACTACGAGACAGCCAGACTTGAACACCGGTAGTTCGATGACAATTCTGCGTAAAACTGCCGTATGGGGTCTAGCGTTGTCTTTGATGAACGAATGCAGAACATGTTTCAAAATATTCCCCCTTTACTGGACAGCAGTTACGTTCCACTGAACATCAACACAGAGGAGAACGTCTGTGTGCACTTAAACAGCTCCAAACCTTGGCGATGCCACCCAAAACTGTCAACTTCACAGACGCAGACGGCGGTTCAAAGTAAAGCACGAACTGTTACAATTGAAGATTCTTGCGACAGCAAACACAGTGACCAGTGACCAGTGTGGAGACTCACAAAAGCATGTTGATGTTCGTCATTTGCAAAACGCAGCTTTATCAAAATGACAAATACAATTTCTTTTTACAGTTAAACTTTACTAAATGTAGGTCAGCATTCACCATAATGTAGTCGTATTCGCTGTTTTCCATCTTATAGGACTGAATGGTCTCGGAATGCACATGGCTATACAATACAAAGAACGAGTCACAACGTTTTCATTTGCTACGGGTACGGTTCAAACTATTAAAGAAATCAAAATTTACCTGCGTCAATTTTTTATTTTGGCTCAATATGAATAAAAGTAAAAATGAATAAACATTTCCGCTGTGGATGATTACAATAACAAAAAGAAAGAACTCAATGACTCTTTTTATTACTCATCTTTGTACATGTATATTATTGACATATTTTTGTTATTTATGGTCTTTTATGATATAATATGAAATATATACCATTGTACAAGGGGTTTAATACACAGAATACAGAAGCAATATTTAAGAATTCATGTTGATTATTAATAAGATAAATCAACAAAAATGAACATGTTTATCTGTCAATTAAAATATTTTCTTAAAGAAATACATAAATATTATTTAGTTTGAAAGCTTATATAAAATATCAGGCTACAAGCTAAGAAAACAATTTATAAATGTACGAAGATAATAAATAATTAGGTAATCTATAATACTGTCAAAGTGGATTGTCAGATAGCGAAAATAAATAAAATGATATATCTAAGATCCATATTCATTGTCATAATTCCACAAACATCTGGTTTACCATTAAAACAGTCTTATCACTAAAGCAATCGCAAGACCAACACACACGAAAATCAAAATTAAAGAGAGGATTGACAAAATCTTAAGCCAACCAAGATGATCATCTGGACAAGGTTCACACAATGCCTTTAGAATATCTAAAATGTTTCTTTTGATGGTTAAGTTGAATATTATACCAGCTGTGCCAAAAATACTTGCTATGGCATCATCTGTATCGTCACCTAAAAAACGAAGAACATGATGTCTCTTTTCCTTGTCTAAGCATTTGTATGAAAATAGTACCAGTAGTAGTAGATCTGCTACTTGAAAACATGAGGTTATCACACTGAATAATAAAGATAGAGTGCCATATGTATTTTTTTCTATTCCTCCTTTCCTTATAGAAATGATTCCAAACAAATATTCCAAACAGCCGGACAGCATTTTGCATATAACAGACACCATAAAAATCCAGTGGTATTCATTCAATGCAAAGTCACAAGCTTTGTTTCAAGTCCCTTCTATCTCGATGTCATTTCGACGCAGTCCCTCAAAATTTATCCAGTCAAAAACGACCCCAAATATGAAGCACGATACTCCAGCAAACCAGAGAACCTTTGAGCAACTGCACTCCATTGTTTTGTTGTTGACTGTAACTGATGTTAGAAAATATACATGTATTTATAATTGAAACAAAATGATGAATACTATGTGTTATTTATTATCAGATTACACGAAAAATATAAATATTATATATATGATAAATTTAATTAAAGTAGCATTATGCTCATTCCTGTCTTTGTCAAGTCAAGCTAAATTGAAAGATCGACAGCTATAATTGTAATTGACAATAAGTTGGTTGATATTCGAAAATTTTTAAGATAAAATACAAATCGGCCTTAAAAATATTGAATGTTACAGGTAATTTCCGATGTATATTTATAAAAGTTCTTTACGTCACGTGTGTTATTTATCGGTCAAGCCAAATGAATTATAAAATTGAAAGGGATTATGCCAAATGTGAACATTTTTATTAGTTTCATCTATTCATAAACTATATACTCTTGAATGGGCATAATGTCACATTAAACATTTTGTTTTCATGCATAAAATTTTTGCTGCATTGAATTTTAAGCAATGATACCTAAACTTACCAAACAATGTTAAAATATATAGGTAAAATATTATCAAAATGGTTTGAAATCCTGAAGTAATCACCCAAACAAAAGTATCATAAAATAAACTATTTGAAACTTTTTCCTAATCTCGAGCAATCAGTTTATTAATTACAGTAACTGTTGATACTTGTGTGTTATGTTATTTGAATTTTTACGTAATTTGATTATATTTTATTTTTAGAAATTTATAAATAGAATTTAATTGAGATTTCCAATGACTAAATATAGATTTCATGGAAAAAACCCATTCGTCAAATATAGCTATACCACGTTCATACACATTTTGTACTTAGTTGGCACATTTTAATTATATATTAAAAATTACGAAATTGTTAGAAAAATGATACAATAGATTATCACCAATATAAATCAATGTCTGACAGTAACTGTACATAAATATAGTTGATTTATTGGGGTGATGTGGTAAAATAAGATATTTGTACTTTGTTCTTTTCGCACTGAATAATCAAATCGTTAAGCTGTCCGATATCACATACAATGTAACGATTCATCATCAATAATGTATTAATAAAAAACATAGTTATAGTTATTCATAATGAATGAAACAATATTTTATAAACAAAAAAGAAAATACTTACTTTGGTATATTCTGTAGTTAACTGAGCGGTTATTGTCGTATATTTTTCATTTATTCTTTCTCTTCAACGGAACGAAGGAATTTGGCGAGGGTGGCAAAATGTCTAGTTTTAAAACCTTTCAATTGGAAAATCCATTGGAAAAACAGTCGGTTTTCGAAAAACGTCTTTTAAACGTCAAATAAGGTAAACCTACAATATTACTATATTGCACGATATTACTGGACCATTGAGATATGCATTTTAAATAATGCATTTTCATTCCGACCAAATCCAGTTTATACTAGACTATTGATTAGAATTTAGTCAATATTTAGAAAACCAAAGTTATTGTAAGGTGAAATTCCCCATTTTGTAAATAATAATTTAAAAATAAAACGAAATATAATTAAAAACTCATCTTCCTACGCACAAGTCAATTAAATAATGAAATCAAGGTACATAAATGTATAATAACTGAAAATAAAACAAAACTAACAACGTTGTGGTCTACGTAAAACAATTTCATCTTTGTAATTATCGTTTGTGTCTTATTATTAAGGACGTGGTTTTATACTTTAAGGTTAAGTATAACTGCGTGAAGCTTAAAGAAATATCATGCTCAAATTTAACATATTAAAATATCGATAATTTTCGCAAATCTCTAATTATAAAATAAACATGTCGAAAATACACGTATTAAACTGTACACACTATAGGTAAACAAGGTATAAATACACAGTGTCACTTAAAAGAACCTGGCAGTTCTTTAGTAAGGACCGCCTTAGCTTGAATGTCATGACGATTGCAACTCTGATGCATGATTAGTACTTTCCCTTATTTGAATTAGACATGTTCAGTGAGAAGAACCTACAGTTCAATATATTTCTGTATTAGATTTTTTTTTCTCAAAGATGAGCAAAGATAGTACTTATATCTTTAAGGAGTAAACACATTTAAAACAAATGTACCAAACGACTTTTGACACAAACTTGCAAATCTTTATTTCAGTATACAGGGCAAATAAGTTCCAAAGATGATATTTATCTGTTAAAAAGCGCAAAAGACTCAACTAATTATCACTAGTACTCTTACATGACATTTTTGTCTCAGATGTTATTTTTATGTAAGAATATCTCTGGAGTGAAACATTTATTTATGTTGAAAACCATATGTAATATGTTCCACATATTCAGTAATTTATAAAAAATGTCTATCAGTGTGTAAGAAAAATTATCAATACTCAGAAGTTGTCATAAAATAAAGAATGCAATATCAGAATAAAGATAAAATATAAAAGACCTTGATCTGCTTTTTATACAGAATTCATAAAGAAAATATTTCTCTAATTAAAGATGGCTCTGAAGGGAAACTAATTGTTGTTAATTTCAGGGACTCAATCACAAGATGAGGCAAATCATAAAAATTAAAAGTACAAGGCGATATTTACGGATTGCTATCGCGAACTTTGTATATGAAACTAAAACGTGTGGCTATATTTTCTTTAGAAAAGTGTACAGGAGAATAATCCTGTTTTCAAATTTTTCAATGTATCAAATTAATACGAAGTCGTAATGAGAAACCTATTTCAAGACATGAGACATGCAATATATTTCTTTTTGTGGGAATGAACACCATACACATAAAATATCAATAATATCCTACATGACTATGTCTGATTCAATTAAATTTCTAATGATAAGGTACATTAAAAGGTAAATGTCCTTAAAATGTAGTATTCTAATTTAGCTTGTCGACTGGACTCGACAGATACCCGTTCACATTATTGGAGAAAAGTGAAATACACACGTACACATTTCAATACAGCTCTTAGTACCCTTCAACAATACAATAATTATTTCCCTTTTCACAAAGCTTAAATGACTCTGTATGTCTTAATTTTCACATTATCTTTTGTAATTGGCCTCCTAAATATTTCCATAAACTTTTCCAACTTTGTTTTTGGTTAGCCCTCATAATATATTTTATTTAAGCATCTTTAATAACAAAATTTACTCTTTTGATTTTTTATCTGTAAAATCCACATTCACAGAAGCACACCAGGTTTAAAATCATGATCCGTTATTTACTTCTGTGCAAATAACAGTTGGACTAGTATAAAACCTGTGATAAACCCAGTTTGCCATAAAGCGCGTGTGTTAATTGCAGAAATTGTAAACAAGTTTGGTCACCAGGCATGGTAAAAGCGGAGTCTAATTTAAAACTGTTGAATTATTTTAATTAACGGGCAGAATCATTTCCCGTTAAAGAAAAATCTCGAAAACAACACAGAGTGTTATTAAAAACAATATGAAACTTAGCCATATTTTATCAAAATAGTATACAATTTACACCATTTACTGACATAAGTGGGATAGTTGCTTGCTTTGCAAAGCAATAAATGATTCCCTAGTAGGAATGTTAATGGGAAAGAGTCATAATCAAAGGATAAAAACACTCAAATTGTATATCTCAGGTACAATATGTCATTGATATTTGGTATTTATGGGGAATAGACGTCAAATGGACGTCATACTTCATGAAAAATCAAGGAATGATACCCTGTGTAGAACAAATAAATAAATTAAAGTAATACTTAAAGATTTTTCAATTTAAACTATTCAGATTTCAATGTAAACAAACATATGCAATACGAGGGATATTTTCGAAATGTACTGCTTATTTCTATCTGGAGACTTCACATTTCAAGTTAGCTTAAAAGTGTTCATTGTATGCCCTCGAAGTACTGTCCGTGGCTAAAAATGCTAAGTTTCAGCCGATGAATCAACTTCTTGAAGGCGTCACGGTACGCTAATTTGGGCACAGTTATAAGGTACTGATGATTGGCAGATCCAAGTGCCTGTCGGGACTTGTATTTCCGCCCAGCAAGGAAGGATTTCAATTTTGGAAACAAAAAGAAATCACATTGGGCAAGGTCTGGAGAATACAGGAGGGGAGAGGGGGAGTTGAGGCAAAACAGTTACTTTTTCTTTTCTCAAAAACGCCGAAACTATTGCGGAGGTATGAGCGGGGCATTATCATGTGGAAGACGGATATGCCTATACCAGTGACAGGGCTTCGTTTCTTATAATACTTTTTTCAGTTTCTTATGTACTACCTCTTTGTAGTACGCTCCAGTGATACTTTGCCTTTTTTCACCGGTACTTTTATTGCGACTCCTTTACCAGAGAAGAAAATTGCATACAAAACCTTCTTTTCACTCAAAGACCGTTTGGTAATTATTGGGCGTTTGTTGTGTTTAGTGGCCCAGATTTTGTTGCTAACTTTTCTGACGGGTTCAAAATAATGGACCCAAGTTTCATCACCTGTGACGACATTGGCAAATTGTTTTTTGTCATATTTTGGAAACATTTGAAGAATGCCCAACGCGGCAAAATTGAAAATGTTTCAGGCTCAATTTGATTGAGCCTGTTCAAGTGCAAACTACTGTCCACGCCCCTAGCACCGGCTTAAGCAGAGTTCAGCATTTAACATGAACTGCACCCAGTTTTGAGCGAGCTTTGAAGCCCGTATTTCATTATTTTGTCGACGCTTCTACCAACCATTTTTACTACAGTGGTCAATGACAAATGGCAAATTGAATGTCTTACACTTAGTCTTACATGTACATTTATACACAGTTGTGTAGGTATTGAATAACCCTATACAGGTATGTTTTGGTTTTTATCGTGTCCCACGTGGATCACAAGATAGAGGCCAGTAAGCAATTCTTTTCGAACAGCCCTCCTATAAACACAAAATCTATTAATTTCAATCTGTATTTCATGCAAAACTTTTCACAACATTCTACAATGTATCACCAAGATGCAATAAATAATTTGTAAATAAATGAAATATCGCTCAAGGTAATGAATTCTCCACGAAGTTGCCCTATGGTTGATACACAGCTATTCACAATAGGTAAGAAAATGTATTTTTGGAACATAATTGACCACAACCACCCGGACAGAATATGAAAGACTATACAATATAAATTACTACCAAGTATGAGAAACAGCCGTCAATAGATAAAGGCTGTATAAGCAAAAGCGTAATGTCTATTTTAACACAGTCACCTTGGCACAAATTGACCAGTTACTCTACTCAAAGAAAGAACATCCAAGGTATATTGTCATCACACATGAAAATCATCCTTCAATAAAAAAAGGCTGTGCAAGCAAATGTAAAAGGTTTTTTTTAGCTCCAGGATCCTTGACCTTGAACAAGGTAACCTTAAACTTCACCAACATTCAAAAAATCACTTACGGTATTAACTCGCCAAATTTGAAAGTCAATGAAATTAAGCTGTACGAGCATAAGTGTAAAAATCTATTTGTTAGCACTAGTGACCTTAATCCTAGTGTTCTACACTCATGTAGAAAAAAACGGATAAGGTACAACGTATATTGCTACAAAGTATGAAAACTTTCAGTAAATGAATAAAGGCTGTTTTAGATGAAACATATATATTTTTAGCTCTGGCTAAATTGACCTTAATCCAGGCTACCCTTAATTCGACGCAAAGTTGGAGTACTATACAAAGTATCTGCCTACCAATTACGAAATATATCGATCATTAATTAACCTGTAGGAAAAACTCGACTAAACTATGGAACTACGAAAAGGACGAAGAGGCGACCATAAAATCTGTTATAATGAAATCAATCACTGATTTAAGATAGAGCAAAGAGAAAAAGAAAAATGCTAATGATATTATAAGCGAACTGTCCTTTGTAAATTCGCAACGTGAAAAGAAGGATGGTCTGCAGTATCTGGCTAAAATTGTGAGTTTTTGCCAAACATTTCTGATGAAATAAAACATTAAGATTTAATCAATCACTGAACTAAACATATTTCACCATTCGGCTAACGGCTGATTTTTCAACTTCCAATACCACCTAAATCCAAAACAAGGTAAACACCTTCATCTTTTGAAAAAGCGACAGAGAGATTTAGAAAATATATCAGGGACACAACGGTTATCAAAACTCTACAAATGTGACAAGTATCAGCGTACAAATGTTAAAAAATGTAAGGAAAACACTTATTATACATCAAACACATATGATTTGATATCAGTGAAACGATTATTACGCATTGGCAAAATGTGATACAAAATCAAAAACGTTTAAATAGCGTGAAATGAATCATTATAACATTTTGAAATGGTTTTATTGTTTATTGCATAAACCATGCA